TGGGGTGACCCCCCTACAAAAGCTCAGTTTCCAGCAGCAGCTTCCTCTGAGTGTGGTGCAGCTGGGGCCAGAGTTGAGGAACAGAATCTTGCTGAGCCCTGCCTAGGCCCTCACGCTGGGGTCAGGAAATTTGGAGGATGAGGCCCTTCAGCCCTGAGGTCAGCAGGGACAACTGGGCAGACTGGTGGGTATACAGGAGGGTTGGGCTGACCTGTCCAGCTGAGCATCTCTTCCTCCAATGGCTGGCCAGGATTCCTGGGGGAAGACAGGAAAGGATCCCCCATCAGTCAAGTCAGCCTGGAGGCTGAGGGCCTGGCTCTCAGCAGCTCTTCTCAAAACAGAGTCATGGCTTCTGTTGCCCCTGGGGAAGGGGATTGGTTAGCTTAGCCGAGGCAAAGCCTATGGGAGACAGGAGGGCAAAGGCCCCGCCCTAGAAGCAACTCAGACGTGCCCTCCAGCGGCAGCGTTCCCCCTCCACACCTTTCCTTTGCCCTCTGACCTCCCTAAGCCCTGATCCAAGGTCAATGTTTACCTAAGGCCGAGCAGGGGTGGATTAATGAGCAAGGGGCTTGGCCTGCCTTCTCTGAGCAGGGGTCAGAGAGTTCAGAACCTGCTCTCAGCTTTGCCTCCCCTGGTCAGGTTTCCCTAGACCCATCCTCTGCCATGGCAGTCCACCTGCTTCCCACCTACGCTCTCTTCCTGACCTTGCTTGGCGCGGCCCAAGGCTCCAGGAGCCCCATGGTACCCAACCAGCCCTTCACCACCATCTGGAACGCAAACACCCAGTGGTGCCTAGAGAAATACGGCGTGGATGTGGATGTCAGTGTCTTCGATGTGGTGGCCAACCCTGGGCAGACCTTCCGCGGCCCTGATATGACCATTTTCTACAGCTACCAGCTGGGCACCTACCCCTACTACACATCTGCTGGGGAGCCTGTGTTTGGTGGCCTGCCCCAGAATGCCAGCCTGGATACCCACCTGGCCCGCTCCTTCCAGGACATCCTGGCTGACATCCCTGAGTCCGACTTCTCAGGGCTGGCAGTCATCGACTGGGAGGCATGGCGCCCACGCTGGGCCTTCAACTGGGACACCAAGGACATTTACCGGCAGCGCTCCCGAGCACTGGTACGGGGGCAGCATCCCGACTGGCCAGCTCCTCGGGTGGAGGCAACAGCACAGGACCAGTTCCAGGAGGCTGCACAGGCCTGGATGGCAGGCACCCTCAAGCTGGGGCAAGCTCTGAGGCCTCGTGGCCTCTGGGGCTTCTATGGCTTCCCTGACTGCTACAACTATGACTTTCTAAGCCCCAACTATACTGGCCAGTGCCCGCCGGGTGTCGGTGCCCAGAATGACCAGCTGGGGTGGCTGTGGGGCCAGAGCCGCACCCTCTACCCCAGCATCTACATGCCCGCAGAGCTGGAGGGCACGGGGAAGGGACAGATGTATGTGCGGCACCGTGTAGGTGAGGCATTCCGTGTGGCTATGGGTGTTGGGGACGCCAATCTGCCGGTGCTGCCCTATGCTCAGATCTTCTATGACAAGACGAACCGCTTTCTGTCCCTGGTGAGTGTCCTATGACCCCACCCACCTTGTAGCCTACCTTGTCAGGCATTAGGTCCAGTAAGTGAGGCCACACAGCCTTGGGGCACTTTCATCCATTATGCTCCATTCCTTGAGCTCCTACTGTGCGCCAAGCTCTGTGCTCGGTACAGACGTTTCAGCATTCATCACAAAGATGGAATGCCTGCTGCAGGCTACGGTGAGGACAGGCTTGCCTCTCGCTACCGGGGCCAGAGCAGCCCCAGGTGGGGACTATGAGTTATTTGTCCCACCCGGTGGTGTTACAGCAATCTGCTGTGTGGGGGAGGGAGGGGAGGAAGGCCCCTCAGAGCTATGCGGTCCCTTTCCCCAGGATGAGCTGGAGCACAGCCTGGGGGAAAGTGCAGCCCAGGGAGCAGCAGGAGTGGTACTCTGGGTGAGCTGGGAGAACACAAAAACCAAGGTGAGCTCAGGCCCAGGATGGGGGTTAGGGTGGGGGCAGGAGTTGGGCTGGGAGGCTGATTGGGAAGACCCTGGCCGGCCCTTTCTATCCCTGCACTCCTGGCGGGCCAGCAGGTGAGTGTGTCAATGCCCTAGGTAGGCCCATGCATGATCGTGGTGTCCCTGATGCTCCTCCTCCCACTCAGGAATCGTGCCAGGCCATCAAGGAGTATGTGGACACCACACTGGGGCCCTTCATCCTCAACGTGACCAGTGGGGCTCTTCTGTGCAGTCAAGCCCTGTGCTCAGGCCATGGTCGCTGTGCCAGGCGCCCCAGCCACCCTGAGGCCCTCCTCATCCTCAACCCCGCCAGCTTCTCCATCCAGCTCACTCGTGGTGGCAGGCCCCTGACCCTACAAGGTGCCCTCTCACTTGAGGATCAGATGCAGATGGCTGTGGAGTTCCAATGTCGCTGCTACCGTGGCTGGAAGGGAGCACGGTGTGAGCAGCAGGGCATGTGGTGATTGGTCACACGCCAGGATACACACACTGAGCGCCTGTTTACCTTAAAAATAAATTGGTTATTTTACCAGCAAAAATGGGTTTTTTTGGGGAACAGCAGGGAAGTGCACTTTGAGATATGTGAGCTGTTGCAAAACCATAGGCAAGTCTGGAGAACAAAGAGGAGGAATGCTATTTTATAGAGGAATGGGGGGAGTTGGAAGGGCCTGTTATAAACAGAAAATCCATTGGAGTAAAACTGGGAGTTTGAAGGGTGATGGCTTTTCATTGAGCTATGAGGCTCTCTCATTGGCTGGGCTGTTGTCAGGCAATGAGAAAATCTTTCCTCCCATTGGAGGAGTAAAGTAGTCTCCTTCCTGTTGGGTCTGCAAAAGGCTGCAAGAAGTGGTATGTGTGAGTTCCCCCTTCTAGCCTCTCGACTCCATTTTATTTTTATTTAATTATTTGACAGAAGGAGAGAGAGAGCAAGCATACAAGCAGAGGGAGCAGCAAAGGGAGAGGGAGAAGCAGGCTCCCCGATGAGCAAGGAGCCCGACACGGGACTTGATCCCAGGACTTTGGGATCACAACCCGAGTGGAAGGCAGATGCTTAACCGACTGAGCCACCCAAGCGTCTCGCTCGACTCCATTTTAAATGAGGTTTTCTTTTTTCTTTTTATTTTTTTTAATGAGGTTTTATTTATTTGGTTTCACAACCTAATGCACTCTGAGCCTGGTCACAGCTTTCTCAAGTACAAGCAGTCACACAAGATTACTCTCAGCCACCATCAAGAGCATATGTCTGCACCTGCACACATGCTTACAGGCCAGGATAGTTGAAGGGGTTAGAGCCTCCAGCACCCACCCAACAGGGTCATTAACATCTCCAGAGACACTGAGCCCAGTCTTTAAGCTGCAGCTATCACAAGAACTGACATTCACTGAGCACCTACTCCTCCCCAAGTCCTGTGCTAAGCATTTTATTTATTTTTTTTTTAAAGATTTTATTTATTTATTTGAGAGAGAGAGAAAGCATGAGGTGGGGAGGGTCAGAGGGAGAAGCAGACTCCTCGCTGAGCAAGGAGCCCGATGCGGGACTCGATCCCAGGACTCTGGGATCATGATCTGAGCCAAAGGCAGTCGCTTAACCAACTGAGCCACCCAGGCGCCCCCTGTGCTAAGCATTTTAAGTAGACTAACTCATTCAATCCTAACATGACGTTATGAGGAAACAGGCACACACTGAGAGGGCAACCATTTTGCCCAATGTTGCACAGCCAGAAAACAGAAGCTTAGGTCGAACCCAGGCTGTCTAGCCATAGAGGTAGAGCCCTTTGGCTCCTACTCTGTGTTGACAGTAACCAGCCCTGGACGCAACCTGAATCTGCTCAGAGGTACCAGCCTCGCAAATAAAGTAGACATGATTCTTGCTTCAAGAGCTACTGAGTGCCCAAAACGCACAGGCGCTGGGATGCAAGAGGACACAGCAAAGGCTCATCTCTCTCACCCAGTCCTAATGTCTGTCCGAGGGCGGCTGTTTCCAAGGATGGGGCCCAAATTTCAGGAGGAAGCTCTACCTGACCGTTTCCACACAGGACCCTCTTACCCGGGAGGCCAACGGAAACCGAGACCCGCCTGAGCCTAGGGTGGGGCGAGACGGGGCGAGGCGAAAGTAGAGCCAGGTGGAGGAGGGGCCTGCACCCGGCCAAGGCTTTGGCGTGATGGGCCCCGGCAGAGCCTCTGCCGAGCGGAATCCCGAAAGACCTAAGCGATGCCCAGGAGCCAGAGACTGGGCCTGCACTGGGCGGGGCACGTCGAGGAGGAGGTGGAGCCTGCGCTCGGTCACAGCGGTGAAGCGCCGGCGCAGGGAGCTGTGGCTCGGCGACGGCGGGAGGGGCAGAGGCGGAGCCAGGGCAGAGACCGGGTCTGCGTGGGCTCGGTGTTATGACGCGCTGAACCCGGGGCGGAGCCTAAGCGGTAACGCGCGGAGGCGGGGTGGGGGCTGGCGGCCTAGGGAAAGTCTGGACCAGGTGGGGCGCTGCGGGCCGCGACGGCTGCATTGCGTCCGCCGTACCGCTAGGGGCCAGCGCGGGCGGTCGGAAGAGTCCAAACCACAGAGCGAGAAACCGGCCAGCGCGGAGCGACGACGCGGAGCATCCCGGATCTTGGCTTCAACATGTCAGTATCTACCCCTTCCCACGCGCAGCGTGTTGGTTCTCACTGTCTCCCGTCCGCCCCACGCGTGCGGTCCTCAAGTGGCTGTGCCGCCCCGCACGCCTTCCCTGCGTCTGTCGTTCCCTCCCAGAGCATGCCGAGCCACACCCACCCAGAGTCAAGCTCCCGAAGCACCCCCACCCCCCCAAAAAAACTCCATGGTTTGTCACCCACTAGGAGGGAGGGGGAAACTGAGGCACAGGAGAGCCTTGCCGCCTCTCCGTGAGGACGCAGGAGCGCCGCCCACAGTGGGTGGGGTCGGCACTGAAAGGGTTAAGCCCGCGGGGAAGTCTGGGGCTCCAAGCCTGGGGGCGGATCCTGGGGCTTCCTCCCTCTAGGTCCAGGGCGGCGGCTGCTGAGGAGGTAGCTGATGCAGGTGAGGGGCTTATAGCCCTCCGAGTGGGATATAGTGTGTGGGGCGGGGGGCTCCTACCTGTGCACGACCAGTGCGGAATTGGCCTCAAGCTCAGGGGACCTTCTTGGGGAGGTGGGGAAGGGGAGCCAGGACGTCCTCTCTGGAGCAGGTGAGTAGAAGTGTGCAGCCCAGCGGATCCCCCACCGCCAGAAATCCCCCAGCATAGATCTTCTGGAAGCACGGCCTGGGGTAGGATGGGCAAACAATGGGATTTAGGCACAGGAGGTCTGAGGCCCCAACCCGGTGGCGGTTGGGCACCCTTGTGGATTTAGGAAGGAAGCTGTGGTCCTTATCTAGGGTGACTACGAAACTCAGGCCAGTGGGGAACCAAGCATGCAAGAGCCACATTGCTGTGAGGCTGTGAGCCAGGCCCCTTGCCAGTGCTGTTGGGGCCCCATCTGAAGGGACATTTGGGTCTGTGCCCAAGCAAAGTGTCCTGAGCGTTGGGGAGGGGGCCATGGGCTCTGTGCTGCAGGCAGGGAAGGGAAATCCCATCCTAAATGGGTGGGTGAGTGGTACCCCAGGATTGGTCAGGTGGCAGGCATGGCCCAAGCGGCCAAAAAGGCTGGGACCAAGAATGTAGGGAAAAGGAAGGAACAGGGGAGCTCCTGGGGGCAGCTGTGTTTCCTCCAAAGGGAATCTTGAGTGGGTTTAAGTAAGGGATCATGGTGTCTAGTTTGCATGTCCTGTCTGATGGCCAGCCAGCCATGATGGTAAGGCTAAATCCACCATCCTGGGGAGAACAAAGTTGTAGCCACAGCAGGCTGGGGCCAGGACTCTTGGGTTCTGCCCCAGCCTTTAGGCTTCAGCCTCCCTCCAATGTGGAGCAGGACACGATGGACCTATTTCTGTTGCCTGAAATGCTGTCCACCTGAGTCAGGTATAAGGGATGGTCTCCAGGTCACCTGTGCCATCAGGTGAGTATGGGGACAAGGTGTAGTTTACCAGTTCCGGGACACGTGGCCCACCTAGCACTCTGTCAGCCCCTCCCTGCCCCAACCCTGTCCTCCCTCTTGGTACAGCCTAGCATGGCTGTTGTCCATCGGAGGAGCACCCTTGTGGTCTGAGGAGATACCACTGTCTGGAGACTGTGCTCTTAATCCCTAACCTGCCACTGAGCCACCTGCAACCCAGTAGGAGACGACCTTGGCTCCCAGCCTGACTCAGCTGAGCCTAGATCCTACATGTAGGTGAAAGCTCACTCTGAGCCCCGGCCCATCAAAGCTGACCCCAACCCTAGACCCTGCACACCAGATAGAGCTGATCTTGAGTACCAGCCCAGCCGAGCTGACTCTGGATCCTGCATGCCAGCCAGAGTTGACCCTGAGATCCAACCTGGCCACGCTGACCCTGGATCCTGCACACCAGCCAGAGCTGACCCTGAGCCCCAGGCTAGCTGAGCTGACCCCGGGTTCTGCATGCCATCCAGAGATGACTCTCAGTCCTGGCTCCACTGAGCTGACCCTGGATCCCGCACACCAGCCAGAGGACACCCCAGCCCCCAACCTGGCTGAACTGACCCTGGAGCCTGTGCACTGCCGACCTGAGCTCCTGGATGCCTGTGCCGACCTCATCAATGAGCAGTGGCCCCGAAGCCGTGCCTCCCGCCTGCACTCCTTGGGCCAGTCCTCAGATGCCTTCCCCCTCTGCCTGATGCTGCTGAGCCCCCGCCCCACACCCGAGGTAGACCCCATCGTAGTAGGTCATGCCCGCTTGTCACGGGTGCTAGACCGGCCCCAGAGCCTCCTGGTGGAGACAGTGGTGGTGGCCCGGGCTCTGAGGGGCCGCGGCTTTGGCCGCCGTCTGATGGAGGGCCTGGAGGCTTTTGCTCAGGCCCGGGGCTTCCGCCGGCTACACCTCACCACCCATGACCAGCTGCAGTTCTATGCCCACCTGGGCTACCAGCTGGGTGAGCCTGTGCAGGGCCTGGTCTTCACCAGCCAACAGCTGCCTGCCACCCTGCTCAGGGTCTTCCCCAGAGCCCCCTCTCCCCGGCCACCCTGCAAGGCTCCTAGTCTAACTGTCCAAACTGCCTCAAGAGCCCCCAAGGGGCCATCATTGCCACCACCCCCTCCCCTGCCTGAGCCCTTGACCACCTCACCCCCACCTCCTGCAGGCCCCCCTCCACAAAGCCTGCTGGAGACGCAGTACCAAGACCTGAGAGGATGCCCCATATTCTGGATGGAAAAGGACATCTGAGGGCTACCCAGGGCAAGGCACTGTCCTTCAGGGTCGATGGACTGCTTGGGACAGTACCAGCCTCAGCCCAGCCCATTGGCCATACCTCCAGTCCCTAGAGCCTGGGGGCAGCTTTAGCTTGGCCATGTTTCCTGAGTACCAGTGGGGCTGGGAGACTGCTCCATAGCTGTGGCTCAGAGCTGTCAGTGTGGCTGAATAAAGGCTTCTGTTGGGTGTGGCTGTGACAGTTTATTTGTTGACCCACCCTCACCTCCCAGCCTTATCTTAGATCCTCTATCTCTGTAAGATCCTCCGGATCCACCTTGGCCCTGGGGCCATGGATGAAGGGACACCTAACTTTTGCCCCTCCCACTCTGCCAGGCCCCGGTGACAAGGTGTCTGTACCCTTCCACGTTCATCACCATTCACTGAGCACCTACTGTGTGTCAGGCCCTAAACCGGGCAATGGGGAACTAGACAGATAGGGCCTTGATCCAAGGAACAGAAGGAGACAGGCATACAGCGGCAGAATCTATGTCGGGACAGTGGGAGCCCAAGTGCCCTCAGTCCGTTTGGAAATCCAGGGGAGGTGATGTCACAGCAGAGACCTGAGTGCTAAGTAGGAATCAAGCCAGGCAAAGGGGGAGGGTGTTAAGTGTTCCTGGAGCAGGGAACAAGATGGACAGGATAGAAGGGGACTGGTGAGAACTGTGAGTGGGCGAGGTGTCAGAGGGCACAGTGGTGTCATGACAAAGATGGAGAACATGGGAGGGGAGCTGCCCAGGCTGACGCATGGCATGGCTGGTCTGAGAGGGCTAGAGGACCACAGGGGGGCCATGTTTTCCCCACCCCCCATCCTCGTGGGGAGTAGTTGGGGGAGTGTTCCCAGCTTTCCCTGCTGTATGGAAGGTATGGCCATGGCCATGGACTCTAAGCTCACAGCCCCTCTCTCCTGCAGGTTTCCATCCCTGGGGCATGATCATGCAGCTGGGCCTGGCCCTGGTGCTCGGAGTGGCCCTGTGCCTGGGGTTTGGCCAGCCCCTGCTGTGGGTTCCTGAACGCCCCTTCTCTGTGCTGTGGAACATACCCTCAGCACACTGTAAGACTCGCTTTGGCGTGCACCTGCCGCTAGAGGCCCTGGGCATCACAGCCAACCGTGGCCAGCGTTTCCATGGCCAGAACATCACCATCTTCTACAAGAACCAGCTCGGCCTCTATCCCTACCTTGGGCCCAGGGGCACAGCTCACAATGGGGGCATCCCCCAGGTTGTCCCTCTTGACCGCCATCTGGCACGGGCTGCCTACCAGATCCACCACAGCCTAGGACGTGGCTTCGCTGGCCTGGCAGTGCTAGACTGGGAGGAATGGAGCCCACTCTGGGCTGGGAACTGGGGCCGCCGCCGAGCCTATCAGGCAGCCTCATGGGCTTGGGCACAGCGGATATTCCCCGACCTGAGCCCCCAGGAGCAGCTCCACAAGGCCCATGCTGGCTTTGAACAGGCAGCCCGGGCCCTGATGGAGGACACATTGCGACTGGGCCAGGCACTGCAACCCCATGGGCTCTGGGGCTTCTACCGCTTCCCAGCCTGTAGCAATGGCTGGCATGGTATGGCTTCCAATTACACGGGCCACTGCCACCCAGCCGCTCTCGCCCGCAACACCCAACTTCATTGGCTCTGGGCTGCCTCCAGCGCCCTCTTTCCTAGCATCTACCTCCCACCCAGTCTGCCCCCTATCTACCACCAGGCATTTGTCCGATACCGCCTGGAGGAGGCCTTCCGTGTGGCCTCCGTTGGGCATCCACAGCCCTTGCCTGTCCTGGCCTATGCCCGCCTCACACACCGGAGCTCTGGGAGGTTCCTGTCTCAGGTGAGTGAAGGTTGAGATCCAGGGGTCTGAGTGGGGGGCATGGCCCTGTCCGAGGAAGGTCTGAAGAGAAGATGTTGCCCTGGGGGGATTTGATGGGGAGGCCCTGATCTAGTTTTTAGTGGGGAGGTCCTATTCTGGAGCATCTGAAAAGGAAGTAAGGCTCTGTGTTGGAATACCTTGAGGGGGAAGGCAAGGCCCAGCGTTTGGAGCCCTCGTCTGAGGGGAGACAGACCCTGAGTGGAGGACCTGAGAAGCCACTCAGAGGCTCAGTACCAAGGAATCTTACTCTAGTGGAATCAGATCATGGCGATGAGCCAGAAAAGTTTCTCGAAGGTGCAAGTAGGCCCAGTTGGATCTGGCCAGCTCAGGCCTGGCTTAGCAGCTCTTTGCCTCCAGGATGACCTTGTGCAGACCATTGGTGTGAGCGCAGCACTCGGGGCAGCCGGCGTGGTGCTCTGGGGGGACCTAAGCTTCTCCAGCTCTGAGGTGATCATTGCCCCTCCAACCTGCCATGCAGCCCATGCTGGAGTCCCAGGGTTGGGAGAAAGACCATCTCAGAGCCATGGAGCAGGAGCATTGATATATCCTTCCCCTCTCCTCAGGAGGAGTGCTGGCATCTCCATGACTATCTAGTGGGCACCCTGGGCCCCTATGTAATCAACGTGACCAGGGCAGCCATAGCCTGCAGTCACCGGCAGTGCCACGGCCATGGGCGCTGTGCCTGGCAAGATGGAGGACAGCTGGAAGCCTTTCTGCACCTGCAGCCAGATGGCAGCCCTGGAGCCTGGGAGTCCTTTAGCTGCCGTTGTTACCCAGGCTGGGCTGGCCCTACCTGCCAGGAGCCCAGGCCTGAGCCCAGGCCTGAAGAAGCAGCATAAAGCCAGAAGTTACCTGTCCCTGAGTCTCTTGTCCCTGCTGCCATTTTTCCAGTCCTGGAGGGAGGACTCTGTCTCGCTCTTGTTCTATTCAGTTTATAGTCAGTCCTCCTACACAACCCCACTTCCCATGGGACCCCTGGGAAGTGGAAGGGGCCAGAAAAAAAGGTTTACACCTTTTTATTTTATTATTATTTTGCTTACACCATTTTAAAACCAAAGGTCCTCTGAGATCACTTGATCCCTTCTGATAAGGAAGCAGCCCTGGGGAGAGTCACCGTTCCAGATGGTTAGTGTTGCCAGCCCAGAGCTCTGTTCCACCTCCTCACTGGGTCCATGGAGAGGTCACAGGAGACCCGTCCAGGGACAGGTGGGCTCCAGGATCTTGGCTAAGGTCTGTAAGTGCTAAGCTGTAGTCTGTCCTCTGCTTCATCATAAAGTCACTTTTTCTTTCACTGCCTAAGGTTTGACTGTGCACCCAGCTCTACCAAGCCCCACGCTCTTCCTGTCGCGAATGTCCAGCCTCAGTGCCAAGAAATGCCGGTCCTGCTTGCCGTGGTAGGCTGCTCCAAGGCGGCAGCTTCAGACTTAACTACCGTGCAGGGATGCACATGTAAGGGGGGGCGGGGGGGGGGGCGGCGTGTGCGCAGGGCATTGTGGGTACATAGTTCAGCTAGAGCGTCGTGGGCTTTTGGGTCTCTGAAGTAGACTACAATTCCCGAGGTGCTCTGCGCTCAGCCGGCCTGCGGTCATCTGCGTGCACAGCCCCCTGGGATTAGTAGTTTTGTCCGCGTGGATGTGGGCCTGAACCCAATGGCCAAGAACTCGCCTTCCCGGCCACCCATTTAGCAGGGCGGGGCGCCCCGACCCGTTTGGCAGGGCGGGGCGCCTCGCGAAGATGGTGTCGCGTGTGGCGTGTGGCTCCCGTCGTCTGCCCAAGTCCCAGCATAGCCCACCGACCGGCGTCTTGCCGGTCTGGAATCCTTGTCCGCCGGGTCCCTGACCCCGCGCCCTCCGCGCGCCCGCGCTCCTGATTCCCGGCATGCCCCGCGCCCGTAAGGGCAGCGCGCCCCGCAAGGGCAGCCAGCGCCGCGGAGCGGGTAAGTGGGGAGCTGCTAATGAACGGCGAGCGGGGGTCCTGCGTGGCTTTCTTGTCGGTGTCCTGGAGGGTCCTGGGCGGAGACTCCTGCCTCGACCAACCTGGCGCTGCGTCCCGCAGCTCCCCCGCGGCCCGCACGTGCCCCAGGAGGCAGCGGCCACGTGGGTGTCCAACTTGAGCGCACTCCTTTCGGCTCAGGATCTCATGTTACCGGCCCTAAACCGGTGGTCGCCTCCCCGCGTCAGTTTTCCCCATTGCCGCTCCACCCCAGTTGCCTCCTGTGGTGGACAAACCGCTGGACAGAGCAGGAAGCCTGCCCCCTCGCCACTCCCTGGTGCTTTCCTGGACTGGACTAGGAAATTGGTTGGGAGGCCTAGCCTGCCGGGGAGTACTGACGGGGGCGGCGATGGGGAAGTTGCAATATTCCGGCTTTGGTGGGCCTGGCATGAGAGGGTTGGGGAGTGCCCTGGAGCCTGAGGCAGGAGACTTAATCAGCTTCGAACAGGAGTGTGTCTTGGTGCAGTAAACACATATGTTTACTCTGCAGGAATGGGGTGCCTGTTAGGCACAGCTCAGACCTGGCCACGACCCTAATAGGACTTGGGTGTGGGGATATCTAAGAGGGTAGCGACATTCCAGAAGGACTGGTGCTGGGGGACAAGTTCATTAAATGGTGCCAGCCCCAGATTTAGGAACCAAGGAATCCTGGAGGGGCTTCTGGGTGAATCGTGGGAAGGTGAAGAAGAGAGCACTATGCAGAGGGAAAAAGTTGTGCAAAGGCCTGGCATTTGGAGGGAGCAAATGAGGGAGGCTGGGCTGCTTTGACTGGTTAGGGTAGTAAGAGAGGAGGTGAACAGAGACCTGCATGCGTGCTGGACTTTGTCCAGCAGGCACGTGGAGTATTTAGTTCCTGAGAAGTGGGATCAGCCTGGTGACCGGACCCATCTGGGGCTCTGTTGCAGCAGCTGCCCTTGCCAAAGTCAGCCCCTGGCCCTGGGCAGAACCCACACACAGGAGTGTACGTTTTGCTGACCCTGACATTCTCCTGTGTTTACCTATTTTCCGGGACTCATGCGGTCAGGGGCCACTCCACTTTCTGCATTTCCCAGGGTTAGGAGGGTGCTGTGTGTGTCCGTTCACCCAGGGCTAAAGGCCTGGGATGGTCAAGGGGGAGCTCAGAAGAGAGTATGCTTAAAGCCTGGGGCAGTCACCCACATCCACTAGGAGCTGGGCTTCTGCCCCAGGGCAGATAGGTGATGTTGGCCCACAGAAGAGCCATAACTAGTTGCTTGTTTAGTTATTGTCTTTACTTACTATACCAAAAGAGTGTTTTAGCATTTCTGTATTGCAGATGAAGAAATTGAGGGGGGTAAAGGCTAGACATTTGACTTGGTTACACCCCTTTTAAGATACGGAGCTGGAGGGCGTCTGGGTGGCTCAGTTGGTTAAGCGACTGCCTTCGGCTCAGGTCATGATCCTGGAGTCCCAGGATCGAGTCCCGCATCGGGCTCACTGCTCAACAGGGAGTCTCCTTCTCCCTCTGACCCTCCCCCCTCTCATGCGCTCTCTCTCTCATTCTCTCTCTCTCAAAAAAAAAAAAAAAATCTTTTAAAAAAAAAAAAAGATACAGAGCTGGAATTTGAACGCTGTGTCTGTATATATTCTATATATACAAATCCTACAATTAAGCCCCTGATCTTTGCCCTGGCCATTTTTAGGCATAATCTGGGCTAGTGGCTGAGCTCCCCCAGGATTTGCCTAGAAATGCCCCCACTCCAGGCTCAGCCACAGGCTTAGGTGGGGCCTATGCAGCCCCTTCTGCCTCTACCAGGCTCACAGTCTCCTTCTTAAAGCAGGCTATAGTCTCAGGGAGGCTCTACTCACCAAGCCTGCCGGGTTTTCCTGGGCTGGGCCTTGTGCCTGATGTTCTCCAGCTGATGGACCTCATTCCCTTTCTCCTTCCTGGCTTAATGTCCCCTGCATCAGCCCCAGTGCCTCCCACCTCAGTCTCTGTTTTCTCATCTGTGAGAGAGGCAGGATTCTATTCTTGTGGGGTCATGAGGTTGGGTGAGGTACCCCCCCCAGCCATCACTCATCAATGGAGGCAGGCCAAGTGCTACCACAAGTGTGTTCGACCCTCCCCAGGTGCCCGGAGCAGTACACAAGCTGACTCAGGTTCGAGTGAGGATGAGGCCGTCAGTGAGGCCCGCAGCACCACCAGTGAATGCCCCAGCCTTCTTAGCACCGCAGCAGAGGACAGCCTTGGTGAGAGCGGGTGGGAGTTTGGCAGGGACTCTGTGGGGATTCCCTGGGGTAGGGCAAGACGCAGGGCTGACCAGCTGGCCTTGCAGGGGGGGATGCCGTGGATGAGCAGGGCCAGCAGGAAGACCTTGAGGAGAAGTTGAAGGAGTATGTGGACTGCCTCACAGATAAGAGGTACCCCTGACTGCCAGCCAACCCCCACACCCGTGTCCCTGCTCAGCCCATGCCAAGTGTGACCCAGTAGGGCTGGCCCACAAGGTCCCCTCTCTTCATCCCCCAGTGCCAAGACCCGGCAGGGTGCTCTTGAGAGCCTTCGCCTGGCCCTGGCATCCCGCCTACTCCCTGACTTCTTGCTGGAGCGCCGCCTCACCCTGGCCGATGCCTTGGAAAAGTGCCTCAAGAAAGGTTGGGCCCTGGGGGCTCATGGGAGACCTGAACTGGCTGGGTACTGACCCTTGCTACATGGGCTGACCGGAAAGCCTTCCTGCAGGGAAGGGCGAGGAACAGGCGCTGGCCGCTGCCGTGCTAGGCCTGCTGTGTGTGCAGCTGGGCCCTGGACCCAAGGGCGAGGAGCTCTTTCGCAGCCTGCAGCCCCTCCTGGTGTCTGTGCTCAGTGACGGCACAGCTAGCCCTGCTGCCCGGCTCCACGTGAGTGTTTCAGGCTCGGTGACACTCTCCCTCCCCTAGTCCCCGAGCAGAAAGGAGGTGGATTCCACCTGCCTTCAGGCTCCCCTACTCTGAGGGTGAGACCTGTGGCCGGGAACCCAGGCTCACTCTCTGACCGTGGCATGGCTTTGCCCCCCTTCCCACAGTGCGCTTCTGCTCTTGGCTTGGGGTGCTATGTGGCTGCTGCCGATGTCCAGGTAAGTGGCCTCTGGGCACAGGTAATAGAGCACCTAGACCCTAGCTCTACCCCTGAGCCATTCCCACTGGCTCCCTGTGTCCCTAGGACCTGGTGTCTTGCCTCAACTGCTTGGAAAGCGTTTTCAGCCGGTCCTGTGGTGTCGGTGGCTCCACGGCCCCCGTGGTCCCTGCCAGCCTGCATGGCCTGCTCTGCGCTGCCCTACAGGCCTGGGCATTGCTCCTCACTGTCTGCCCCAGCGCCCACGTCAGCCACATCCTGGACAGGTAAGAGTGACTGCTCGCTGCGAGTGGGAGGGGAAAGGTGACGAGGCCCCCCAGCCCACACGTAGCTCAGCCTGCCCCTTCCCCAGGCAGCTGCCCCGGCTGCCCCAGCTCTTGTCCAGCGAAAGCGTGAACCTGCGAATCGCTGCCGGCGAGACCATCGCACTGCTCTTTGAGCTTGCCCGGGACCTTGAGGTGTGAGGGGGGGTGGGGGGAAGGGAAGGGAGGGGGCCTCCTGACACCACCTGGCCAACCGAGGCTGGAGGCAGGGGACGCCGCAGGAGATAGGGCAGCCTTAGGTCATGACGGAGGGGAGGTAGCCCTAACACAGACTCAGACACCGGGTGCCGCGGTGGGGGCTCTGAGCAGGGGTGTCTGGCCCATTAGGGGCCAAGAAGGGATTCAGGGGGACCAGGCGGAAGAGGAAGCCACTTCTTCCGTGAGAGGAAGGGTTTGGGCAGCCCCGTGTGAGAGCCTGCAGAGCCTGGGCCCCCGCTCACACACTCTCCGTTGCTCACACTGCAGGAGGACTTCCTGTACGAGGACATGGAGGCCCTGTGCAGCGCCCTGCGGACCCTGGCCACCGACAGCAACAAGTACCGCGCCAAGGCTGACCGCCGGCGTCAGCGCTCTACCTTCCGCGCCGTGCTGCACTTCGTGGAGGTACGTGTGAGAACGTGTGTCCTGGGGAGAGTGCTCCCCGGACACCGCCGCCAAGCCCTGGTCTGTGGGTCCCTCTACGCTGCAGGGCGGTGAGTGTGAGGAAGAGTCTGTCCGCTTTGGCCTCGAGGTGCTCTACGTGGACAGCTGGGCCCGGCGCCGTGTCTATGCCGCCTTCAAGGACGTGCTGGGATCGGGCATGCACCACCACCTCCAGGTGGGAAGACGGACGGGCAGGGGGTACCCAGCCTGGCTCTTTTGGACCAGCCTGAGCTCACTGCCCGTTTTGTCCCCCAGAACAACGAGCTACTCCGTGACATCTTTGGCTTGGGCCCCGTGCTGGTGCTGGATGCCACTGCCCTGAAGGCTTGCAAGATCTCACGTTTTGAGAAGGTCTGCACCCTTGGGCACCTTTCTCTTCCCTCCACTCCCATGGCCTCGAGGCCCGGAGCTCTGCAGGGGCTGGGGGGAAGGGCCCGGGCCTCCCGTTCCCCGGCTCACCGGAGCCTCACTCCTGCCCCCACTCCAGCACTTGTACAACGCTGCTGCCTTCAAAGCGCGGACCAAGGCGCGCAGCCGCGTGCGGGACAAGCGGGCAGACGTCGTCTGAGGCGGGGCCGGCTGAAGGGGAGACCGTGCGCGCCCGCGCCTGCGTTTTTAACAGAAGACACTGCAACAACTGGTCCCTGCCAGGAATTGTCGCTTTATTTTTTTAATGACAAAACCAAAAACAGACACGGCGGTGGGGGGGAGGGGGGGTGGCGGCGGCCAGGGCAGTCGGGGTCCTGGCCCCTTGCCCCTGCACACGGCGCTGTGGCCTCTCCCCGCCCTGTCCCAGGCCCGGCCAGATGTGTGCTTGTCCCAGAGCTGGGGGACACACAGTAGGAGGGCTGTCCTTTTCTCTCCTTCTCGGGCCCTGCTCCTCTGGGATGACCCACTTCCTTGAGGGGAATGGCATCTGCACAAACAGCACCAAAACAGGCGGGGACACGAGGCTACCTGGAATGGATCTATATGCTGATTTTTAAAGATTATTAGAGATAATTAAATTGAATGCTCAGCCTTCTGTGGCCCTTAGCTCTGGGTGTTTCTGCCTGCCCTCCCACCCACCACCGCCCTGGGCCTCCCCCCGCCATCTCCATCTCACCATTGCCCTCCCAGCCCGTCTCCTCAGGTGGCCCTCCTCCCTGTACTCGGAGCTCTGCCTGCTTGAGTGCTGCGGCTGGACCCCCGCTGGGAGGCCTGGCAGAGTTTGGGCAACTGGGGTGGGGGCAGCTATTTCTAGACTTAAACCTGCTGTCTGCAGGAAGCCAGAGGCTGCTGACAGGCCATGGAAGGAGCCAGGAGGCTGGTGTAACTTCCTCTGACCTTGGGCCACCCAAAGCAGGGCCTTGGCACCAGAAAACCTGGCCAGGCCTGGCCTGAAGACAGGAGAGGCGGGTAGCTGAGGGGTCAGGTTAGTCTCTTGTACAAAAACCTCACCAAGGAAGTAGTGTGGAGCCATGGGTAAGGAGAAACCTGCCTTGGCCACTTTATTCCCGCGCCCCCCCCCCCACACACACACCCCTAAGCCCCGGGTCCAAGTGGTATCTCAGCTGGGTGCTTGGGCCTCACTGGAGTTGAGCCTCCGCAGCTGGCTGAGGCTGGCAAGCCGGAGTTTGAGTAGCGTCTCCTCCTGGGTGTGCAGTGTGTACGCCAGCATGCGGAGGGACTCACTCTGCAGAACTGGGGACAGGCGGGGGCGGGGGATTATCAGACCGCGGGCCGCCCCACAGCTCCCCACCCTTTGCTGCCTCAGTGGGCAGCTGCCCCCTCTGACCGTGCAGAAGACCTTCGGGTCCCAGCTCCTCGCCCTCGGTTCCCACTTGCTTCCCACGCTGGCCGCCCGTACCGCTCAGGTAGACAGCCAGGATGGCGAGCGCCAGGCAGCTGAGCGCCAGCAGAGCCAGCAGCACCAGGACGCCTCCCCTGCCTTGCCCGGGGCTGCAGCCAGCCTGGGCGCACAGTGATGGTGGCAAGATGCCCAGGAGCTCGTCCCACGGCTGCGCCGCCTCGGCCGGGTAGGGGCGCAGCGAACCTGGGGGGCAGATGGGGCATCAGGAGGATAGGAGTCGTATCTGCCCTCCTCCCCTCTCCCAGTACATCTGTCCCGCTGCCCTGCCTCGCTCACCTCCGCCGTGGAGGTCGCTGATGGACTCCACCTGGTGCAGGCGCACTTCCTGTATGTGGTTGGGGGCCAGTGGCGCCCTGCTCCTGGGGTTCGGTGTCAGTGCCACGGTGTCTGCTGGGACAGTGCAGGGCTGATTCAGCCAGCAGGTCACCCCCCTCCCTTCTTTGAGGTGGCTTCCAGTAGCAGCGGGACTCAGAGAAGATGGGAAAGGACAAAGGGACGTTGGCTCCAAATGCCCTGAAACCCAACTCAGGAATGACCCTTGATTTGGAGCCAGGATGACCTCAGAACCCCACAGGCCTGTTAACACCCACAGTAGCAGGAGGTACATTTGACTTGCTCACTTTTGTTTGCTCCCAAGCACCGCAAAGACTTTCAGGCATTCCTCTGCTTGCTCATTCCTAAAGAACTTATCAGCCTTGGAGGACTAAACCCATGGCGCATGAAATTCATCCCTGCCTCTGGTGCTATCAGTTTTCCCTGCAGACCCTGCGAGTTAGCCATCAGGCCAGATCCAGGGCCTGGTACCTTGGCATGCCCAGCAGAAGCAGCCCCTTCCTAGCTGGGTGCCGCTTGTCTCTTGTGGCCTTTGCTCTGCTTTAACAGCCTCCGCGAGATTTGTGATTCAGCTGTACTTCTGGGAACCCTGCTGTTCCTGCTGTTTTCACTCAACATCCTAACAGGAGACCTGCCTTTGTTATCAAGCTGTCGCACATGTTTCTGAGGCCTCCCTTTGAGGCTGCCTGGGCATTTAGGTTGTTTCCAGTTCCCTTCAGAAGTTAATAACCCCGAGAAAAGGACATGCATCAGTGAGTATGAAGGTTTTTCCCAATTTCCTAATTGTTAATAAGGACAGATTCCTAGAAGCAAAATTACTGGCTTAAAGAGCAGGGGCTTTTTCTTTAAGCCGTCATCAGACTGTCCTTCAGAATGACTGTCCATAGCCCCCAGAAGGGTACATCGCCACCATTAGGCTTTTTCATTGAAAAAAAAAATTACAGGGGCGCCTGGGTGGCTCAGTCGTTAAGCATCTGCCTTCGGCTCAGGTCCTGATCCCGGGGTCCTGGGACCGAGCCCCGCATCGGGCTCCCTGCTCCACGGGAAGCCTGCTTCTCCCTCTGCCACTCCCCCCTGCCTGTGTTCCCTCTCTCGCTGTGTCTCTCTCTATCGGACAAATAAATAAAATCTTTAAAAAAAATCTGAGCTACCTAGGTGCCCCCCCCCCAAAAAATCTTAAAAAAAAAAGAAAAATTACATACATACATGCGTACACATATGTTTGCCAAACTGGGAGATGAGGAAAGGCCTTTGACCTATTCAATGGGGTTTCTTTGCCTAAAGTGCCTTCCTTATCCATTCCCAGCCTCTGCCCACTTAGTCACTGGGGTCTCTGTACTTTTCTTGTGATTTTACTTATTTTTAGACCCATCAAAAGTATTTTGTGATTTCTAAAAATTATATTTTACATCTTTTCCTTTTTTTTTTTTTAAATCTTGGCCCCTTGAATCTCCAGATACCCAGCTGGATGCTAGATAACAAAGTAGGGGGGGCATTGAGGGAATGCCTTCTGATAGGGGCAGGGGTGATTGGACTCTCTGAGTCTATCACTTTCAGAACAGTAACTCAGCCTTTGTGATTTGTTTGAAACTGGCCCTTGACGTGTCCCAAAGTAAAATGAGATGCTGCCAGTCATGTTTGGGTGATGGGTTGGGGGTCATATTAAATTCCTCTCTGCACTTGGCTCTGCTTCCTCACACTTTTTTTTTATATTTATTTTAGAGAGAGAGTGTGTGCCTGTGCACACAAGTGGGGGGAGGGGCAGGAGAGGGAGAGAATCTCAAGCAGGCTCTGACTCTCTGCTGAGCGCAGAGCCTGACGCAGGGCTCAGTCTCACCACCCTGAGATCATGACCTGAGTAGAAATCCAGAGTTGGCCACTTAACGGACTGAGCCAATCAGGCGCCCCTTCCCCACACTTTCTAAGTTGAACTTGGTTTCTGTTCATTCCCAGGAAAAACGTGGTAAACATCGTTGTTAGGATCCCAAAAGGAGGCGAACATCCCCCACCACTACTGGAGGCTAGGCGCCCCCCATCCAGTTGAAATGTTGAATATGTGATAAGGGAGTTGGCCAGCTGGGCCAGGCTGGAGCAGGGAGCAGCTGGTCATCCCTGCTCTGGCCCCTCTGAGCCTCGGTACTTCTTGCATGCAGGGGGGCAGTTAGGGGAGTGGCCACTAAAGTCTTAACTAGCTATCAGTCGAGCCAGGCCAAGGGATCCCAACTAATGGTTGGGTCCATTTAGGCTCAAGTCAGAGGAGGCCAGAGATCTATCCACTCCCAGTCTCTGGGCCACATGCGCAAATGCTTCCTGGGACCGAGGCCCGATGGATCCCAGCTTCCTCCCTGAATGAAGAGCTGAACCGGCCGGCGTCTGCCCTGCCCACACCCACTTGGACACGGCCTGTAGTTGACGAGGTGGCTCCCCCCAATCCCTCCCTGTCCTTAGCAAGGGAGACAGGCAGGGCCCGAGGGGGAGGTGGGGTTCCAGACGTGGTAAGCCCTTTCTCCATGCATGGGGGCAGGTCCCTTTACTCATGCTGGGACATGGTGATTGATGACTAGTCAAGGAAGTGAGGTCAGCGGGATGGGGCAGTGTTGCTCCCTGATTCACGGGGTCACAGGACTGGGGCCTTGCCCTCCCCCATAATCCTCTCCTACCTTCTTGGGTCTCCTCAGGCATGGCACGCGGTGGGCAGTTGGGGGGCTGATAATAACACCCAGTAGCAGGACAGATGAAGGCAGCGGTGGCTCCTCAGAGCCTGGGGAAGGCTAGCCACCTCCCAGCCTGGGCCTAAAATAGGCCTGAGCTCAGCCCACTGGGCTATATTTAGAGGGGGCAGCTCTCAGCCACGGGAACGGGCGGAGTGACCCACATGGGCCAGCCTGGACTATCTAGCTGGTGATGGAGCTCCACTCATGCAGGTGTCCAGGGTCTTTCCTGGGGAACCCTGCCACCCCCATATATGCATAGGCCTTGGTGTCTTTATCCAGACAAGCTGCCTCATGCTCACCTCCAGCAATGCCCCACATGGCAGCTGAGACCTGTGCCTCTCCACCCCCAAAGACCCCTACTCCAAGTTGGGTCATCTCTACTCCAAACAAATGGACAAGCACCTATATCCGTGTGACCTGCTGGCCCCAGGGATTGGGGTGATGGATAACTGGAGCCCGGGCCATGAGGGCCCCCAAAGGGGGCGGCAGAGACACACCTATCCACGCAGGCACTCATGTTGGTCAGTGGGCAAACTTAGATTGAAGATTGGGATTTCTATTAATAAGCTTACAAGCTTGGGTAAGGGATTGCCCCCTCTCTGACCTCCATTTTCTCATCTGTAAAACAGGAATGACAATGGTTCCTCCCTGGCACGGGACACATGAGAATGGAAATACAGCCACATGTCGGAAGCCCTTAGCACAATGCAGTTTAGATCCTTCCTCCTCTCCAAGGGTATACAAGTCACCAATGTGTGAGGAGGCATGGTATCACTTACCCTTGAAGGGAGGAAGTGGCTAGGTTTAGGGCCCACCCTCTGCTATGGGACCCCCTAAGGCCCTCCCTCCCAACTGGGACAAAGCAAGACAATGAGCTCTACCTCCTTAAGCATCCCAAATCCATCACTTCACTGTATCACTGGCCTCCTTAATGTTCCTGACACACAGCCACCTTGTTTCTGTCTCAGGGCCTTTCCACTGGCTGTCCCTTCCTAGAATGCTCTGCCCCCAGATACTCCCATGGCTGGCTCCTTGTCGTTTAGCTCAAATGTCACCCCCTCATTGATGCTATCTCACGTTATTTTACATATCACCAAATTTCATTTTCTTCATAGCACTCAGCCAAGAAATCCTATTATTCAGAATACACTGTGTATGTCAGTAGGACCCCAAAAGGCCCCACAGAATCCACTCGGTCACATGAAAACCATCTTTAGTCCTCCCCACAGCATCCTCAGCAGAAACTGAGGTCTTGAGACCACGAGGAAGTTGCCCAAGGCCACACAGCAAGACCTGGCACCCGGGGTTGTGCGCTGGAGCCGTTCCAGCTTCGGCTGATAATGTGTTTATTGCATTAGTACAATCGGCCTGACCCACCCCACCCCCCACCGCTCAGCCTGTTCACAGCTTTCTGCTCATTGCCCAGGGAGGAGGGCCTTCCCCCGGGGTGGGCACTCCGGGCACCTCCTCCGCCCAGGTCGTTGCTCTGGAGCCCTGCTTCTCTGCCTCCTCAGGATCAGCAGGACCCTGTGCCCGGCCCGGGCCGCCCCTCCCAGCGCTACATTCAAGGGTTATCCTCTGTTAATAAATAAGCCGGCGAGGCAGCCCCGCGGCCAGGGCCTGTCGGTCGGTGGGTCGGTGTCTCCATCGGCCAGGGACCAGTGTGCCGGGCCCCCTAGCCGTGCGTCCCCCAGGATCCGTCCTCCCGCTCCCGCCTGGAGTCTCCTTCCCTGTGCCCAGCGTGGAGGCCGAGTCACCAGCGCGCGGCGCTGCGCGGCCCCCGCTCAGCGCGCGGCTCGGGGGCGTGCCTTCGGCGGTTTCGGCCCTTCCTCCGCGACTCGGGAGGCGGTGGGCGAGACTCGGGCGGCAGACGACACATTCGCAGGGAACTAGCGCCACCGCCGCCCGGCTCCACCAGCTGCAGGAAGTCCCGGTACCAGAGCTTGGGGCCCGGAGGGGCGACGGGCGCAGCCTCCTCGGCCCGGGCCAGCCTTTCGGCCTGCGCGGCGCTCAGCACGTGCAGCGCCAGGCGACGCAGCGGCTGCGAAAAGCCCTGCTCCACAGCGGCGCACAGGTACACGCCTGAGTCCCCGCGCCGCAGCCCGCGCAGCAGCAGCCCCCGCGGCAGGCGCTCGGCGCGCTCCTCCACAGCCACCTGCGGGCCGGGCCAGAGGGAGGCGTGGGCGTCAGGGTCGGGAACAGGGAAACCCGGCTCCAGGCCGGGCCAGGAGAGGCGGCCGAGCGGGAGCAGGAAAGGGCGCCCGCAGGTGCACATTTGGAGGCTGGGTGCACTGGGACCGGTGGTCTAAAAGTGGATCCCCGTACGGGGCGGGTTCACCTGCACATG